GACGCCGCCGCCTCCCCACTCGACGAGGCGGCGATGTGTGTCGATTCCGATTCTAAGCCGCAGCAGGAAACGGCACAGCAAGACGACATGTGCGTGGACTCGCCCGCGTCGTACGCCCGTGCGCCATTCGCCTCTGCGCTTGCCAGCAGCACGGTCTCAACGGTGGCTTCATCGCCTGCGCCTCCCCCACTCGCCTCAACAGCACGCGCATACAGTGCGCCCTGCAGCAACTCCGTCGCTACCACCGCTTCTGCGCGCGCAAGACCCGTCCCGCCGCGCCGGCTCTCCGCCCCGCAGGCGCTCGCGTACGTGTCCGCACGACGCCCCGCCGCGGACGTGAACTGGGGCTTCCGCGTGCAGCTGGGCGAGTGGGAGCGCGTGTGTCGCGGGGCGGGGGCGTAGGGCGCGCGCGTGTGCTCGATCTCGAGCAATCCGTGGGGGCAACGGGTGTCAATCCGTGCGGACGACGACGCGGGATTACCTTCATGTACATACTGCTTTGGAGAGAACGCGGTGGAATTTGTTTATAGGAGGAAGGGGAAGGATGGCTATGCGCCATTACTCTTTGACACAGAAGCAGATGATTCATTCAAAATGTAATATAGATTTTTCGATTATTTCATGTTCTACTTCGTCCTCGTCGCGGTGTGGACTTGGAACGGCCATTTTTTTTTTAATCTAATGGTTAGCCATCTTGTGGCTCTGACTCCGATATTCGATATTCTCGAAACTATTGTGGTCAGTATGGTTCGCAAGCGGAGGGATGGCCAAGTGAGGCGCGTTCATATGTAGAACCCTTGAAGAATTCGTAGGGGGTTAACAGGTTTTCCAGAAACACATGCAGCGACGCTTAGTATGCGTCCGATTCGCTCCCCCGTTTCCAAATTATGAGCGAGGAGTTCTTCGCGAGCCAAGCACGAGCCCCTAAGTCAATCCCATTAACTAAACAACCTACGAGTACAGGATTCGGCCCAGAGAGTGTCTAAGTAAGTAAAATTGCGCGTGTATGTACATATGCGTGTATCGGTATGACGTGTGTGCCGTCTCATCAGTGGCAAGCCCGGCAGACAGCCCACCCTCACCGAGGCACGACCGACGCGCAGGGGTGCCGGTGTCGAGGGGGGCGTACCGCAGCACAGCGGGCGGAGCGCTGGATATCGCCCGTTCCACGTCCACACGCGGCGGGCGCAGGGGAGGGGGCGGGCGGTGGACGACGGTGCGCGCGCGCGCGCGACGGTGGCGCACGAGAACGCGGGAGTGCGAGCATGGCGGACGGAGTGGGGGATATTGCGCGCCTCGCGCCCGCCCCGCGTCTGTACCACGTCCACATGCGGGGGGCGCAGGAGTGGGCTGCGAGATGGGGCACAGCGAGATGGGGGCGGGGCGTTATGAGACGAGGGGGTGGGAGAACGTCTGGACGACAAAACGCGACGGCGCGCGGGGGTGGACGGCGCCCGCGCGGGGATGACGGAGGTACGAGAGGACGCGGGGACTGGTGGGGCGCGCGCCGAGGGGGCGGGAGGACGCGCGCACTGGCAGACGCGAGGGCAGACGGGAAGCGGAGAAGGAGGGGACGAGCGCCGTCCGCGAGCACACCAGCCAGCCTAGATAGCCCTGCGTGGGGCGGCACGGCAGGAGCACTGGGGTGCCGAACGCGACTCGGGAGGCGCATGGACGTGCGACACCGTATGTAGCTAGCGGAGTACGCTTGCGCCAGCGGGCGAGAAGCGCGACGTCGCGACCGGAGTCATCGCGAGCTGCGGAGGACGGGTTTGGGGGTCGGGCGTGCGCGGGCAGGGGATCGCGCGGGGGAACGGCGCGGATGCGCGGACGCCGTGGCGGACAGGCGGAGGGAGGAGCTCACGGAGGAGGCGTCGCACGACGCACGAGCGGGGCGTCGAGATGGGCTAGGGCAGGAGCGCGACAGTGCGCGCGCGGGGACATGGCCGCGTCAGCGCAGATACATCTGCGCGCGTTCGTCCGCTCTTCCTGCGCGCTGTCCACACCTATCACAGACAACGTGAATGCGAACGTCCTTCCGGGAGACGGTGGCCATGTGGGCGTGCGCGTGAAACTCCCTAGGCAGGCGTAAGGTGTCGATATTGTGCGCGGGCAGGAGTGCGGCATGAGAAGGGTGCGCGAGCAAGGGGCGGGACGGCGTCAGCGCGGGTATATGCGCCGGGGCGAAGGCGGGTGGACCGGCGTCCAGGTTGTATTTGGGCAGCAGCGGGGCGTAAAAAGGCTCCGCGCGCGCGGGGCAACGCGGTGTCGAGAGAGCTGCGGTCCACGCGGCGTCAGCGCGGATATGCGCTCCGGCGGACACAGGTCGTGGCGGGGGACATGCGCGGGGGTTGATAGCTTCAACGGGCCGTATGGCGAGGGAGGAAGGCGTCGGCGGGCAAAATAAAGGGGCGGGTGGGGACGGAGAGGTGGCGGACGCGCAAGTTGAGGCAAGGTACAGGCTGTTTCGTGACGGAAGGTGTGGGCGAACGAGGGGGGTTAGGGCGGGGGGCGGAGGGAGTCTAGTCGGGCGAAGAGGGGATGATGATATAGGGATGACGGTGACGGTGATAGTGCTGGGACGTCGAGAATTAGGGAGGAGCTTGTGATATTGGGATTGGGGATGACGTGATGACGGCGAGAATGGAGGAAAAAATAAAATATTAACGTCGCGCCGGGACTCAGCAGCACCCCGCCTTGTCCGCCTGCGCCATGGGCACCGCGCCGGGCGTCGAGAGCTTGACGCCGGGGGACTGCGCGCATACATCGTCAGCGCAAGTAACAATAAATTAATAAACTGGGTACACACCCTATCGTCGTCAAACGCGCCCTTGCGCACCTTGTCGAGGATATCGCACGCGGCGCGCACGAACGCGTCCTCGACGCCGTCCCCGCTCTTCGCGCTCGCCTCCACGAACAACAGCCCCTCCTCCTCCGCGAACCGCGCCGCGTCCGCCGTCGGCACCTCCCGCTTGCTCTCGTCTACACCCAATCAGCACGCACCCCAAATAACCGAATAAAAGAGAGAAACACACCCGCGTCACACAAATCCTTCTTATTCCCCACCAACACGCAGCTCACCGCCTTGTCCGCGTGCTCCCTCACGTCCCCCAGCCACATCTTGATGTTCTCGAACGAGCGCCGGGAGGTCACATCGTACACCAGCAGGCAGCCGGCCGCGCCGCGGTAGTACGAGCGCGTGATGCTGCGGAAGGATTCCGTGCCCGCGGTGTCCCAGCACTGTAGCTTGACGACCGTGCCGTCCGGCGGGAGCGTGATCAGCTTGGACCCGAATTCGACGCCGAGCTGGGGCGGGGTGTGAGCGACGTGGGCGCCGTGAGGAGGAGGAGGGGACGTACGGTGGGATCCGGGTTCGCGAGGAAGCGCTGGTCCGTCAGGCGCACGAGGAGAGAGGACTTGCCCACGGCGGCGTCGCCTTGAGTTCGTCGTTGTTAGTATACTGCAACTGGTATGGACGCAAACAAAGACGCACCGGTGATGATAAACTTGAGGACGTAGCGCCAGGCGGGCGTGCCGCTCGTGTTGCTGGAGGCCATGTCTTGCAATGTCTTGGTCTAAGTGTGCGTGTGCGTGGGCGGGATTCTCGTAGATAGGCGTAGATATTCCGGGTTAGCAAGGCGAGAGTACAAAGGGCGCAGTAGCAGGAGGAGAAGAGTAACCGCCGCAATGAGGCACCTGGTTACCAGAGCAGCCGAGATCGGCACAGATCGGCCGCCGGCGGCAGTTCAAAAGCTATTTTATTTTCAGGGGTACTTGTGCTCAGAATATGGTGGCCTTGCGGTGAGGTGGCTCTTATACCCCCCCCCCCAAAAAAAATGTACAATTTTGGTGAGCGTCGCAAGAAAAATCCCAGAAGATAATTCGGACGCGGGGAGTCGAACCACGAACTGCCGCAAAGTATATATACGCAGACTTCCTTATGAATTTGCCGCCGTGCACCGTGCACCACGTCCGATTGAAAACAATACATGAGAACCTGGGTATGTACGTTAGTTTATCTTGCAATGGGATAAAAAATTATATGCAGTATCATTCGGACGCGGGGAGTCGAACCCCGACCTGCTGCAGAGTCTGGCTACAAAATTGTGGAAAGAATTTGCAGCCGTGCACCATGCACCACGTCCGAGTGAAAACAATACATTGGAAGCTGGATAGGTGCGTTAATTATCTCGCAGCTTCCCGAGAGGATCCAAACACTTTATTTATTTTGGGAGCGGCGGGAAGACCGGAGTTGAACCGCCGTCATGTTGCAGCAACGCGCGCGCACCCCAAACCCCAAACTACCTTGAGGTCAATCGTGCAAGTGCAAAAAAAAAAAGGGGACAATCTTCTTCTTCATTCGGATGCGGGGAGTCGAACCCCGAACGGCCGCAAAGCTTATGTAAACTGCGCAATGAGATCCGACCGTGCTCCGTGCACCACGTCCGAGCGAAAGAAATATTCAGGAAGGTAGATAGGTGCGTTAGTATTATCCTGCCACGAAAACAAAAGAGCAGCTCTATTCAAAACATTAATTGCAATTGAAATTGCAGTTCGTTCAGGGAGAATTTATTGCACTATCCATAAATTCAACGTGAATCAGAGATACATCACCCAACTTTCAATCTGCTTTGAATCTGCTGCAGGTCCAGCCAAAAAGAAAAAGCATTTGCACCTCATATCAACGATTCGAACGCGGGGAGTCGAACCCCAGCGTTTGGCCAAATATTGTGAGAATTTGCAGCCGTGCACCGTGCACCACATCCGATTGAGAAATCATTTGGGAACCTGGGTATGTCAGTGTAAATGATATGTCGTTAAGATTTTTTTGTAAAAAAGCGCGAATAGAAAACGCCGCGTGCAGGAAGAATTTATATTTGGAAGCGAAAAGTCAGTGACAATACAATAAATACAACACCTCCGCGTACGAGAAAATTGCCTGACCGCTTTGAGAGTCGCCGCAGGTCCAGCCAAAAAAAAAGAACGAACAGACAAGGTGATTCGGACGCGGGGAATCGAACCCCGTCCTGCCGCAGAGCGATATCAATTCCCCGGAGATGGAATGCAGCTGTGCACCGTGCACCACGTCCGATGTAAAACAATACACGGGAACCTGGGTATGTATGTGCGTTGGATTATCCCGCTAGGATTAAAAAGACACAGGGGCGCCATGATTCGAACGCGGGGAGTCGAACCCCGTACTGCCGCTGACCAGAATTACACTAATATATTATGAATTAGTGGCCGTGCGCCGTGCACCACGTCCGATGCAAAACAATACACGCGAACCTGTCATAGGTATGTGCGTTGCATTATTTAATTCGGTTCGCTATGTAGGAAAATTTGCAATTGATAGTATGAAATTTTGAAGTCCGCGGTATTAGTTTGTTTGTTGGGAAAACTGGGGGAAAGCTGGGAAAGAATTTATTTATTCTGACGCGCTGGAGGTTCGGCATAAGAAAGAGGTGCGCTATTGGCGAATCAGAGAAAGTCAACCTCCAGACTGCATTGCATTGCGGGCAGCGCGATTGAAGGAAAAAAACCTCATGCCAGGGCACGTAACAAATCGGACGCGGGGAGTCGAGCCCCCGAACTTCCGCAGAGCACCAATCGATATTCAATGCTTATCCACGATGAGAGGCGGCGGTGCACCGCGCACATTGGATTCGCTGCAAGTAGCCCGGAGAGAAAAAAAGGTTGATTATGACGAATTCGGACACGCCCAAGTAGTGTACCCGAATGAACTAGCCACATGTGTAACCACAAAATGTGCTCGGGTTTGAGGAATGAGTAGGTAGGTACGTATAGTCCGGCACGGTCCCGTCAAGCTTGTCATATACAGTATGCAAATTATTAGTAAATCCACTGTCCGCCATTAATATTGTCCACTTCTAAACGGACATTGAACAGGATACGACCCCCGGCGAAAAAGAAGAACCCTGAATCACCATGGCCGCAGACTCAGGAACCTGGGCAAGAAGGAAGGGCGGGCAACGGCGTAAAGAGCGCCGTTGAATACTTGACACCGTCTATCTCTGCTCCAACGTATCGGGTGTCAAAAGATCCGCCCACGTTCAAGGTCCAGATGGTGTAAGCGCTGTTTGCTGCGATACCGGAGGGGGAGAAAAAGGCGGTCTCGGTGACACCGACATGTCCCGACTCGTCCCTTGCCTCTGTCTCGATGTACACGCTCGTCACATTCACACCGTTGCGCACCTGCACTGGGTCAGTACGGCGACAGAAATAACCGGTGGAAGACACGGACTGCAACATCGTATTGGGCCGTCCTATTGTTGTCGAAAAAACACGACGTTGTGGAGAATACAACACTGTCTTGCACTGCGAATCCAACGCCGCCTTGGTCTTCTAGTTTGCCGTCCAGCATGAACTGCATGTTCGTGATACCAAGCGCAGCATCGAGCGACAAGCCATCATGTGCCAACTGGTCGCCGTAGATATACCCCGTTGCGACGCCGTTTGGGTAGCTAGTGGTGCCCGAAAACGTCAAGGTGGAATTATGAACACCTCCAAGGTGGTCATTCCAAAGAAGCAGCGCCACACGATTGGGGTTGGCGGGCAGGTCCCAGAACTAGATAAGTATAGATTCACAATTAGCAAAAAACACGTGTTGTAATGTTTCTCCATACCCTAACTCGACCCGAAAACTGAAGGACATCACCATCCAGGGCAAATGTCGGGCTAGTGGGCTTGACAGGCATCGGTGTGATAACTTCGCTGAGCTGAACTCCATTGGGGACCGTATCAAGCATGCGCGCGAACAGGCCAGCGCATGTCGAACCAAAGTGCTCAGGCGAGTTGGCGAATCTGGAATGTTATTTACGAGAGAACAAGGCGAGATGGAGGAGACCTACGCGAGGATAGTAGCATTGCTATCGCTGCCGAAAATTCGCTTGTCTGAATTTGTGGTGTCGTTGAAACCGACCACGAGTGGATTTTTAGTAGTGCCAGAAATATACTCTGTTGCGCTATATAGCGGTCATTATGTGCGTGGATTCTCGGGAGAGCATGGCGACCCACATGTTGTTGTCAAAGTGGAAGTTGGCTGTGTCAAAATGTGCGACGGAAAGGGTGCTGTTTGGGTCGTTCAACTCTGGCACAATATTAGGGAATGGAGCATGTTGTACGCCGCCGAACGTGTGGCTGAAGGACCCAAAATTAGATGAGTGGTATTTCAGAGAGGAAGAACCGACCCGCATGCGACGAGGCCGATCATTTCATCCTGCGTAAATCCTTGCCTGGCGAAGCTAGCGATGTGCGAGTCGAGGGTTTGCTCTGGCTCAGGAACGCCACGCCGGGATTGTTAGGTTCCGTGGCGTCCACCCGCCCGCCGCGGAAAGCGATTTGAGGGCCTCCACTTGAACTCACATTGATGAGGCAAATGAGGGATCAGTGAGAAAATCCTCACCATTTTTCGACTGCTATGACTGTCCCAAGCGCGAGGGCGTCAGCAACTGCGATTTTGAGAAATGGTCAGGTTCCGCAGGATACCCACGTGTAAAGCAAACCTACCAGAAACGTAACGAGTGGCGCTCCCAGCGAGCACGCTAAGAGTGTTCGAAAACCCGTCACCAGTGTTCTTAGAGAGGGTGTCTCGTCAGTCTTAACTCCATCGCACCCGCAGTACTACACACCTCGCCCCGTGTTTGCTCTTCTTCGAACCTGATAGAGGCATCCATGCCTCCCGTACCGTCTGCGATGTTGTGCGTCGCCATGTCATGGTACGCCTGTGCATATGGTGAGCGTCTGCCAGAAGAGAAGAAGGTGTCTCACTGTGCGTATCCAGTCTGCGGCGTTGGTCCGTCCGCTGGCACCGGTACCGCTGCCCCCCGAGCCGAAAGTGAAGGTATCGCAGGGTTGAATGAAACTTGCGATGCCGGTGGTACCTGGTAGTATCTCAAAGAGCAAGGATTCGAGCTCATCGAGCATGGGGGAAGGCCAAAGGTAAGCATTGGCGGTCGCAAAGGAGGCCAAGAGCGCGAGTCGGAGTATCATTTTTCTTGAAAGTACCACGGCTGCTCCTCCCTTTTAAACGCATCTTTATAGCCTCGCTGAAGCTCGGTCATCGATCCCCTGTGACGCCCAGAATAGCAAAAGAAAGAAAAAAATCGAGTTTGATATATTCGCCACCCAAGGCCAAAGAAGACCGCAGTGTTTCACGGTGCCACTGATCAGGAAATTTGCACAGCCCATACTGAGCCTGATGAAGCTCGTGATGTGATGGCATCTGATCAGGGTATCACAGACCTATACCAGGACTCGCCAGCGCGGGTGAGTCCATTGCCATATTTTAAGAGCTGCACAATTCGTGACCAATCGAGAAGGGATGGTGAGCGCGTATCCGTCATTGTGAGTTCAGTATCAGACTCTCACTCAATCATTATTCGGTACTTAGTGTACCTTTAATCTGCACCTAGTAATTTGTCGTATGTACTTGTAGCTAGCTGAGCAGTGCGGCGACAAAGTTTGTTGGGTTATCGCAGTTCAGGCCTCAGGCATCAATACGCGCACACCCACGCAGACCTTCGCATCACTATCACCGGGCTGAGACTCCGAGGAAGCAAGAACATCAGTAAAACTGCAAGTTCGTCTTTGACGTCTTTGGAGTCTTTGGCAAGACTCCAAAGACGCGAAAGACGAAGTTTTGGCCAAGATGTCGCATCTTGGGAAAGTAGATTCCCTTTGCCTTGACAAGATGCGACGTCTTTCCAAAGATCTCAAAGACGCACTCAAGTCATTGCAATATTTACTCAAAGACGACTCAAAGACAACGTCAAGACCATCGAAGGGACAATAAAAGAGCGTAATAATATATTGAGCAAACGAAGTACAAATATAATAAGCTCGGCCGCGCGCGACTCCGCGCAAGTAAAAATACCCCCACGCAACACCCCCACAGCCCATCACCCGGTCCCTGGCGCTTCCCCCGCCCAGTAATGGGGTTTCGACGAAGGCGCAGTGAGTCGGGTGACAGATTGCGAGGTCCGCGGAGCACGGGCCAAGACGGGGAAGGCGGCGTGGCCAGGTACGGGCGGCTCGGAGGTGAAGACGTGCAGAGGAGCTGTAGTAGGCGTCAATGTGAGCTTCGAAGGAGACATGAGTGAAAAAGGCGTACCATCAGGAACAATCGCCTTCACGTTGGATAATGAAGATGACGCTGTTGAGTCACTGTTATCAAGAGGTAGCGCGCTGGAGGAAGTTCTTACCTCGACATGATGCGCTGAGCGGCTTGAAGAAGGGAGCTGGACGTTAGCAAACGAATGTGGCCACACGCGGCGTTGGGTGCAAACAGTGCACATGAGCCACAAACGGCAAGGGAAAGCGACGCAGCGCAGGGTGAGGAGAGAGCCACAGGTGGCTAAAACGCGACACAGCGCGGAGACACACGGAGCAAGAGCAGAGCATCTTGGCCAGAGTCGCTAGACAGATCTTGGAGTACAGAACACCGTAGCTTGAGGATCTTGCAGTTGATGAAGCCACATAACTCAAGTAGACCAGATAACCGTAATGGACGAGGCCCAGGGTGGTGGAGGCAGGAGAGAGGTTGGGCAGAGGCGCGACATGGAGGAGGCGGGGAAGAAAGCGACGTGGCAACAACAACCAATCACGCCATTCTGTCAATCAATGATGTGTTGTCATGTCGGAGTTTGAAACGGACTTAGACAATTTCTGGCGAAAGGAATCTGATCCAGCCTGATTCCGACGCCAATCTTGTGCCAATTCGACGCTACTACAATTTTTAGGTGGATTGGACTTTAATTCAGTCATAAAACCTGGTCAGACCTCATTATCTCCATTTGTAAAAAATATTGCACTAAATATTATAGCAGTACAAAATACGACCGTGATGTTCAACTTCTCGTTCTCTGAGCTGCTGCTCAAGAACATTGATGACCAAAACATTGACACCTAGAAAGTTTCTGACTTTGAATACTAGCATAAATTGGGTTCTAGAAAGATTCCTCCCAGACACAAGATGCTATGCACAAGACAAAGACGCCAAAAGACGCGGCCTCCAAGATGTCAGATTCAAATCTCAAGACGAAGATGCTCAAAGATGCGTTCCAAAGACCA